TGGCCCTAATATTAAGGAAATCATACTATTATATGTGAGAGCTATGGATCATTCTCTTGGAGCTTTGCTAGCTCAAAACAATAATCAAGGACATGAGCAGACAATCTACTACCTCAGTAGAACCATGATTGAGCTGAACACTGGTACAATCCGGTAGAAAGGAGTATCTTGCCTTAGTATTCGATGTCCAGAAGATGTGACACTACTTGGTCGAACAATCAATTCACATCATCTCCAAGGTGAATCCTTTGAGGGTGCTCATGACGAAACCCTCTCCACTGAATTGCCATCTAGCAAAATGAGCAATACTCCTATCGCAATATTCCATGCAATTCATGCCTCAAAAGACTGTTAAAGGCCAAGCTCTAGTGAATTTCCTGGCTGATCATCTAGTATCTAATTCGTCCAAATTATATGAAGACTTACCAGATGAAGTTGCTGAAGCTTGTGTAACCCAAAAGGTCATGCAAGTATGGAAATTATTCTTTGAAGGTGCGTCTAGAGCAAACCCTAATGGAGGAATTACCGCTGGTGTGGGGGTGGTACTTGTATCCCCAAGTGGTCATGTAATCCCAAGACGATTCTCTCTAATCGAGCCATACACCAACAACGTAGCGGAGTACAACGCTTTGCTATTAGGGATGCAGATGGCCGAGGAGCTCAATATTCGACACCTTGAGGCTCATGGTGATCCTCAGCTCATCATAAATCAAGTCCGAGGAGAATACAAAGTACGTAATAAGGACTTAATCCTATACCACTTCGCCATGCTAGAGCTAGCCCAAAAGTTCGAAGGCTTCTTTATTGGATATATCCCACGAGTCCAGAATGCGTATGCGGTGTGACGCCCCTGGGTTCACACAAGGCTGCAGTCCAAGGTGAAACCAGAGATGTTAAACCTGCCATGCACCCACACTTTGCATAAACATGTTTCACTAATCACAGTAATATCCTCTAGTAGAACCAAATAGAAGTGCAGATACAAACATGCAAAATAAAGGGAATAAATGTAATAGACATGATATAGAAAAGATATCTCATAAATAAAAAGAATCATGTCTCAACTATAATACATCTTATATCTGAATAATAAAAATGTCTCAACATGAATCAACTAAAAATTGTACTAAGGCACACTACTGTTCGCGGGGAAAGTTGGTGTTTTCTTCATTATCGATTCCATTGCACTCAGTTAACAACTTTAATGCGTTACAAGAGTATCCGCGTCTTTATAAGATCCGGCTTACAATGAAAATCAAAATAAACAAAGAAATCAAAATTACAATTCTCTCTTTTATGTCAACAAATACAAGACCCTGTTTTGCCGTCTCTTGCTTCTGTGGGTTGTTTGCCTCGCGCCGGGGTTGCTTACGTGGACCACCGCGGTGTATCTGGATCCAAGCAGATCTACGAACGTATTCACGGTTATTATCCCACCCAGGAGATAAACGGGAGGGATCGTTTTTCACCAAGGGAAACGAACGCTCGAATCTCGGGATCTAAGAGCCAAGCTTAGATCGGGCTGTCAACGACGTAATCTGAGGATTAACTTCTCTCGAACTCCTGCCTTTTCGATGCTCGTGCTCCTAGAATCAAATCCGAATCTCCAAGTCTTCAAGCCTTCAGATCTACGAGTGGAGGTTGACATATCGCAGAGTATTCGGCTCTCTCCAAAGATTTCAGAAGAAGTCCCCAATATGAACAAGTACCGGCCTATTATAGGCTCTCAGAACTGTGGTTTGCACAGTTCGAGCCGGAGCACCCCTAGGTGGCTCCGGCCATTAGCACCGAGCAACCACCAGGACGGTGGACATACAGGCCTTTGGGCCGAGCCACTCAGGGTGGCTCGGCCTGGACACGAGCCACCCTGGGTGGCTCGCTTTAGGCCGACCACCTCAGCGCTGGCAATCTGGCCGGTGACGAGCCACCCTGAGTGCTGAGGCTCCTGCGCTAGTGGACAAAAACCGAGCCACCTAAGGTTGGCTCCGGCCTTGGCCGAGCCACCCTGGTGGCCGCCACCGAGCCACCGCTAGACTGGGACTCCGGCTGTGCGGACCGACCTAGCTACTCATATGAGGTGGGTTACGTGTCCGGGCCCTGAGAAGATCTCCCAGGTCCGAGCGATGTTTTGTCGGTTTTCCGTTCGTTAACGGTAAATGTTTCGGCGCCGGTCAATTGTTCGCGCCTAATAACTTCTCTTTTTGGTTGAGTATGATTTGAACTGATTGCGAGTTAGGCGGAGCTAATACTCGCAGTTCGAAGTGTATTGAGTTGCAAACTCCATTTTTTGTGAAGAGCCGTCGACTTCCCCGAACCCTAAACGTTGTTTCGCATGCAGTTCGTAGCGTGCCTAACTTGTAGCCTCTTAGCTTCCGATTTCGTGGCTTTGTAACGTCTCGATACGATTTGCCTCGAACATCAGTCGCCGCGAGCTGGTTCCCAAAAGGACCTTATTAAAGAGTTAATCGCTACAAGCAATACCCGCTCCGCCCATGACCCGCAGCGTCTCTTTTATTCTACCCTCGTTTTTCCCTTTTTATTTAGAAGACACGGCGTTTGGGCCCGCATGGAAGAAGCCCAGACTACCTCAACATAACTGGACCGGGGTCGCCAATCACCTCCAGCATACCAATAAGAGCCTTCAAACGATAGCTGCGCGCACCATTTTGCGCATTGAAGTCCAAGATCACGCCGAAAATTCACGCCCAAAAAGGCAGTTTTTGAGCGGGGGGTAACTGTTTTGAAAGCCCAAAGAAAAGGCAGAATCAACCTCAGATGGAAACATTATCATCTGATAGTGATTGTGTCTGTACCTGAGAAAGCGGCCCACACCGATAGGTTACTCTGACTGTCAAATGACGAGTTGTACTATCTGCTGGGGGTACGAATTTAGAAGAACCAGGAAGGAGGAGTCCCAGGGAGAAACGACGGAAACTTCAGGATGTCCCTGTTCCAAACTCATTCGGCGGTATTGTCGGATTGCAATTGCATTAGGCGGTCCTCCGGAAAGAGTTTCAGTTTTGAAAGATCAAGTGCGGAAACGCCAAAACAAGGCCTAGGCTGCTGTCAATGGAATTGACTATTGCGGACTAGAATTGCCCACTAGTTTGGTCCGCGTGATTGAAGCACGGAGAATTTTCGGTGTCACCAGCTATAGCATAAGCGGAGCCCTGAGAGAAAATGACTTTTGTATCTGTATGTCGTTCAAATCTCCTTCGGCCAATTCAGTGCTGTAATGGTATGGTGATCATGACCGTAGGGGGTTCGGTGCATGCGTTTATTGTCTATCCGTGATTCTGAAATTGTTGGAATTTGAACTTGACAGCTCCCGATCCTCAGCATCGATTTTTTCCAAGTCTTTTTGCAAAGCTTCCCGTGTTGGTTGCTTCAACATGAAATTGCACCATCCCGGTTGACGGCTTTGAATCCTTTATCGGTTACACACGCTGAGAGTCTGTCTAGGGCCCGTAACTTATCTCACAGTTTTATATCGTAGATGTAGGTTATTGGTCAGGCGACATAATCGTACCACCAGGTCCTTTAGAAACCGTACATTAGAGGGAATCGTTGAAGCGGGTGCCGGCTCCGCCGAGCGTCTAGTTTATATTCATACACTCCTGGGAGTATAAGTGATTTAAGTTATCCCTTAGGAATATTCTAGAAAAATATTCTGCCAGTAAACTTCTCACAGCAGACATCAGATAATATCTCAGTATACCGAAGCGGAGCGGGTAGTTTAAACTCGGGGGTAATCAACCTCTTCGCGGACTAGAGTCTCTCGCGTATCCACCGATGATAGAGTGTCGTCGAGAAGCAGCCGGTTCCGATAATAAGCCTTGAATCGGATGCCAAGATGCTTGAAGACGCTTTGGCCAAGCCCAGACAACTGAAAGTGTAACTAATGAAGAACCTAATGAAATGGCGAGAGTAATGTCGGGCTGCATGCTGACAGCAAGAGTGCTCACCAACGCCAACTATGCCAACATGTCGGGAG